CTTTCAGTGTAATTGCCTTCTTTTTATGAGAATAAAAGTGGTCTCGCATGCCTACTTTGCTGGCTCGTCCATATAATATAGGCAACTGTGTCAACATTCAGCTACCTTAAATGAATGCCAAATACCAAGGTGCACATAATAAACATTTCTGTTTTCAGTAACCATCTTATAAATGTTTCTCTGCTCAATGTGCATATTAAAATAACTCCTTTCCCACTCTCAATGATGGCATGTGTTGAAAAGTAGATAAATACTATTTGTTATGTATGCTGGCAAATGATAAAACACTAACAGACTGCTGTAGTGAAAGCTAATGAAAAGGCCATTTCACGCCAAGATTTTTCCACAATCACTGTGCTCCAACCCTCATTCTAAAAAAAAAAAAATGACCTCTGAGTGGGAAAAGAAAAACATCACAGTTGGAATGCAGCTGGAAAACTAATTTATAGGGGTGGGAAAGGAAGAGGACATTCACTTCAAGATTTGGATATAAATGGTACCTTTCCTCCTTCAACTACAATTAGAGAATGTATATCTATAGTTGGCTGTTAATAGGCACTAGTAGTTAAGATAATTAAGTGTTATAAGAGGCATTCATATTATTGTAGAAGAGTATCATTTCTGTAATTCTAAGAGTACTAAGTGATTTAGCTTTTCATTTGTAAGTCAATTAATAGGAAGGTAAGTCCTTCCCTTGAATGTCACTATTATAGAATAAGTTTATAGCATCTTGTTTCTGTAAATAGAAAAGATATATCTAGGCTAGTGTGTGTCCTTGATCAGGTGTATGTGTGAGCCTCTGTGTGCACATGGAATATATCCCATATAGAAACTGTAATGGCTTCCATAAATTTGGTAGTGCCTTTCTGCTAATATGTAATGGAGATAGTCACGTCACTGAAGGGAGAAAAGAGATGCTCCTAATTGCCTATCATATTACTTTAGGAGCTAAATGGATGTTACATTATTCAGGATTAAGGGATACATTTCTAAGGCAGCAAGCAAGATGGATGCTTCGGCATCCTTTCATTGGCTCCAAACACTGCTCATTGTTTGCCTTTTCATTGTTTTGTCATTGCTGCCCTGAAGGATACCTTGGGTGTGCAATGTTGTTTGCAGGCAATTTTTGCCACAAAAAAGGATTAATTTTTTCTGCCATTTCCATTTTCATCACCAATTTCCAACTGTCATGACAGTGAGCTTTGTTTTTACATGACATTCCACTCTTATTACCGTCTTCATCCCAAGAATGAAAGTCTATAATGAGAGCAAAGCCATAGCTGGCATCTGAGAGCTGTTGTAATTCACTCTCATGACAAAGACAGTAATGAGAAATGACAGTGGCACAAAATGAATCCTCTCTGATTCCAGCCCCATGGACGATAATGAAAACAGAAGATGCCACCAACTTTATTCATCTTCATGACACCTATTGTGACAGGATGGAAAGCTGCAGCAACACACCCATCCGAGGTGTAGCTCCCAGACTCACTCCCATTGTGTGCATGCTGAAACTTGGTACCACCACTTCTCCTGGGATTCCAGATATGGAAGGCTTTCAGAAGCTGCAGAATTTCTTTACTGTCCATGAGGGAAAGACTTTAGGAGAGGACAAAGCACTTTAAATCTCAGAATTATTTGTTTTTATCCTTTATTATACAACCAGGCTTGGCAAAGCCTGCAGGAGAAATAGTGGGAAATGGTAGGAAATTTATGAAGACAAAGCCATGTTTTGAAGCTCTAACTGAATTCTATGATTTTTCTGAAATACACAATTCTAAATTGCTGATTACAGTAGTCGCTCATTCAAGACCCTACCCACCTTCACATGCTTCCCAGCCCTCCCCTGCCTTCCTATTTGCTTCTTCCTCTCTTTATTTATCTCACCAAGCTATAACTATACCATCAAGAAATAAGAAAATAAATTTTTAGCCAACTTGATGCAATCTTCTCATTTCATGGATGAGTAAAATGGAACAAGAAGAGAAGCCACAGATCAACAGCCAGGGAGATAGTTCTGGCATCAGACATTCACATAATTTTTGATCTGTAGTTTCAAGGATATATGGTAGGATTGAAAATACTGGACATAAAAGAGGCACAGAATGCACACACATATATATATGCATACATACATATGTATGTACACACATATGTTAAATTCAGTGAAGAGGTACAATTCTTTTCTTTCCATTTTTAAAATTTAAATTAGAAACAAGCTTGTTTTGCATGTCAATCCCAGTTTCCTCTCCCTCTCCTCCTCCGCTGCCCCCAACAGACCTCCCTATCATATCCCCTTTCTGGTCCCCAGGGAAGGTGAGGCCTTCCATGGGGTATCCCCAATGTCTGTTAATATCATTTGGAGCAGGTCCTAGAACCTCCCACGTGTGTCTAGGCTAAGAGAATACCCCTCCATGTGGAGTCGGTTCCCAAAGTCCATTCTAGCACTAATGAATATTGATCCACTACCAAAGGCCCCATAGATTGCGCAGACCTCCAAACTGACATCCACATTTACAGGATCTGGAACAATCCTGTGCTGACTTCCTAGCTATCAGTCTGGGGTCCATAAGCTCCCTCTTGTTCATGTCAGCTATTTCTGTGGGTTTCACCAGACTAGTCCTGACCTCTTTGCTCATCACTACTCCCTCCCTGCAATAGATTCCAGGAGTTCAGCTCAGTGTTTACCAGTGAGTGTCTGCTTCTGCTTTCATCAGTTACTGGATGAAGGCTCTAGGATGGCATATAAGGTAGTCATAATCAATCTCATAATCAAGGAAGAGAAATCAAAATAGCCTCTCCATTATTGTTTAGATTTTTAATTGGGGTCATCCTTGTAGATCTCTGGACATTTCCCTAGTGCCAGATTTCTCTTCAAACCTATAATGGCTCCCTCTATTATGGTATTTCTTACCTTGCTCTCCTCTATTCTTCCCCTGACTCAATCTTCTTGCTACCTCATGTCTTCCTCTCCCTCCTCTTCTCCACTGCTTTTTCTCCTAACTCCCTCTCCCCTCTCTCCATGCTCCCAATGAGATCTTGTCTCTTTCCCCTTCTCTGGGGGACCATATATGTCTCTCTTACGGTCCTCCTTATTTCCTACCTTCTCTGGTGGTGTGGATTGTAGGATGGTAATCCTTTGCTCTATGTCCAAAATCCATATATGAGTGAATACTTACCATGTCTGTCTTTTTGTGACTGGGTTACCTTACTCAGGATTGTTTCCTCTAATTCCATCCATTTGCCTGTGAATTTCAAGATTCCATTTTTTTTCTGCTGAGTAGTACTCAATTGTGTAAATGTATCACATTTTCTTCATCCATTCTTCAGTTCAGGGGTATCTATTTTGCTTCCAGGTTCTGGCTATTACAGATAATGCTGCTATGAACATGGTTGAGAAAATGTCCTTGTTGTATGAATGTTCATCTTTTAGGTAAATGCCTAAAAGTGTAATTACTAGATCTGTGGTAGACTGATTCCCATTTTCCTGAGTAACCTCCATACTGATTTCCAAAGTGGCTGTAAGAGTTTGCACTCCCACCAGTAGTTGAGTAGTGCAGTGCTCCCCTTTCTCCACATCCTCTCCTGCATTAACCGTTATTGGTGTTTTTGATTTTAGCCATTCTGACAGGACTACAAACACCTTATTTTTGACAAAGAAGCTAAAATTATACAATGGAATAAAGAAAGCATCTTCAACAAATGGTGGTGGCATAACTGGATGCTGGTGTGTAGAAGACTGCAGATAGATCCATATCTATTGCCATGCACAAAACTTAAGTCCAAAAGGATCAAAGACCTCAACATAAATCCAGTCACACTGAACCTCTTAGAAGAGAAAGTAGGTGGAACAGACACTGAGATCAGTATTTAGTAAATGGGACCGCCTAAAACTGAGAAACTTCTGTAAGTCAAAGGACATAGTGAACCAGACAAAATGACAGCCCACAAAATGGGAAAAGATATTCACTACCCCAACATCTGACAGAGGGCTGATTTCCAAAATATACAAAGAACTCAAGAAGCTAGTCACCAAAACACCAAATAATGCAATTAAAAACTGGGGTACAAAACTAAATAGAACATTCTCAATAGAAGAATCGATAATGGCTGAAAGACACATAAGAAAGTGCTCAACATCATTAGCCATCAGGGAAATGAAAACCAAAACAACTCTGAGGTACCATTCTTAGGAGGAATATATTTTAGAGTTTATGTGTTAGTTTTTCAACATGACAAAAGCTGAGAAAAGATAAAATAGTTAAAGAAGCAAGATTTACTTTGTCTCATGGTTCAGAAATTAAATCTGTGTTTGTTGTCTGTGTTCTTTCAGGCCTGTGGTGAATCAGGATGCCAGGGTGCAAGGGTATGGATGGGAGTTGCCTCTGTTGTGGTCATGAAGCAGAGAAAGAGACAGGAAGTAGCCAAGACAAGACACCTTCAAAGACATAGTCCCAGGGCCCTACTTTCTTAAAACAGGCTCCACCTTCCAAAGTCCCATCACTTTCCAACAGTCCATAAAACTCCTGTAGCTGGATATTTTCTCCTTCTTGCCTGGTTCCTCTGGACTAGTTTCTCTGCCACCCACTGGCTTCCTGCTGCTGCTTATTAAATAATCACTCAGAGGCTAATATATTAAATATAATTGTTTGACTAATGGCTCAGGCTTCTTAGTGGTTAGCTCTACCTATAAATTAACCCATTTCTAATATTCTATATTTTACCATGCAGCTGATGGCTTGTTACCTCACATCTTGCTTGCTTTCTGACCCTGCCTTTCTTCTCTCTGCATCTTTCTTTGGATTTCTTGCCTAGCTATATTTTGCCTGTCCTTTGGCTAAAACAGCTTTATTCATCAACCAATAAGAGCAACGCATATTCTTAGGATACACAAGGACATCCCATGTCAAATTTCAAGTTAATGAATGGATAAACCCATACTGCAGCAGAACCCTCACAGTCCCATATTCTTAGCAGCCTGATCTGTGAATGCTGCTTACCTCAGGGCACAAGTCTTCAACTAATTAGTGTCCACCTCTTCCTTGCTCTGTTTTCTACTGTCAGGAGCTGTGGAAGAAACACAGAAGAGGGTTACAACCACCACCATCTTTCAGGGGAGCTCTGGCCTGCTTCATTTCATGGCATAGGCAATGCACCCCTCCAATGGCTTCTTACAGATCAACTTCCTCTTCTGACAGTAGAGTAAAACAGTTTATATCTCCTCTTGACCAGATCCTCATCTAAGTTCTTTCAAGAATCTTCAAATCAAGCTATTTATCTACATCAAGATATTTAATGTGAAACGACAATATCACCTAGCCCTAACATTGTCACTGCAGACCTTATCTATGTCTTGCTACTGTGTTTGAATCTTGAAAGTTCCTGACCTTCAGGATTGTTCAGAAAAGAGGGAAAACACTGAAACCTGAAGGAACCTGCTCTATAGCATCAGGGGTTAACTGTGCCATGTTAGAGCTGACAACCATCTAACAGGGAAAGTAAATTCATCCATTTGATCCACATTCTCACCTTCTAGGGGTTATTAGGATGCTTACATGTTTCTCAAGAAGAAAAAGATCCACATTTACTGATTTTACACATATTCATTATGAATTTTTTTCTAGCTCCTGTTTAATTAATATTGCCTCTTGGGAGTAATGAGAGCTGATCCAGTTTTAAGAGTGGATCTGTTACACACCTTTGAGTTAGTAAGTAGCAATGCACCTTTTTCATTGGCTCAACGTTTAAAACCTAGGTTGCATTTCAAGGCCGAGTAAAAGAAAATTATTGCTTCCCAAGTGATTATTGCAATAATATATTTTCCTTACTATGTTAACTTACTTTGTGTTTCTTTGAAGACTGATGCAAGTCCAGAATTACAGAGACAGATGAAATATAGATAGAGAAATGACTCTTGTTAGAGGAAATCATTCAATACCAAAACAGTAAGTAGTTCAAACTCACAATTTACAGTATAATATGAGAATGTGTGTTTCAATAATTCTCAAACAGATCATAAAGCAGGATAAGAATTTGTAGAACTTCATCTTCATGGTGATTTGTGTAACACAGAACCCAGCTATGTTTAGTGTTTATATTTTGAGCATTCGATGTACCTTTAGACTCATCAGAGCTGATGCTTTTGGAAATAATTGTTCTGTAAATATTATGGGTACTCTAGGTGATGCTCATGACAAAACATTCATGGTTCCAGAAGTAGCTAGGGCTCCAACTGGGTTGAGAATCTCACAATTTCTAAATGTTTTCATGTTCTTTGCTCTATTCTCCTACTATGATTTAGTTTGATTACTTTGGGACAAATGAAGGAAATACTATGTTAAACACAGTAATATTATTGGGTGAATGCCCTTGATTTGTAGATATGCCTCTTTTGCTAATCAATGTAATGACCACCACGGCAACTTGTATTTAAAACCCTATGAATGTGACACTTTGTACAATTTTTTACATGTTACTTCACTTCTTTAGTATTTTTCTATTGGCTTATTTGAAGAGTTAAAAAAGCTAGATTCTTGTTTTATAATCTATTTTGATGACTTATTTTTGCTACATTGAGAAGCTGAACAACTCCCATGAGAAATACAGGACAGGAAAAATGAATTGTAAAGGCCATTCATTGGCCTCTTGTGCATGGAATTAAGGAGCCTTATGGATTGTTTAATGTGTTAGACTTTAATACAAGACTAACTTGGGGAAGGGGTAAGATTAATTCTAGAATCATAAATCTTTTAACTATAGATTCCTTTTGATTACTTCAAGTGACTATGCGACATTGCACAGGATAGAAAAGCCCAGATCAGAAAAAGTTAATTCACATTCTCTTCCACACGACATGAACTTTTGATCTGAGCTTGTGGAGATGATATGGATATCACTTGCTTATATTTGTTTAGTGAACAAATAATATTAGAAACAAAACAACAGATGCTCACTCCCAGACTCTTCGAATGCAAGAAATACCTCATTTGAAATATGTGTCATGGAGCTATAAGTGACCTTAAAATCTACCAGATATTTGACAAGAGATCAAGCATATTTTCTTCAAAGCTTGCCATAGGAATACAAAGACAGAGGTCACCTCTGATATAACCGCAAGTTATCAGGTTCTTTATTAAAAAAAAACAAAAAAACAAAAACAAAACAAAACAAAACAAAACAAAAAAAACTGTTTCCATAGTTCCAAATCACAAGCCTTTGAAAACTGGATGGTTTTGTGTAATTGATTGTCATAAGAAATGCATGTTTATTTTAGCTTAAGGAATACTGCTTTTTTGTTCTTATAAGCAACACTAAACTATGTCAACCTAAAATGTTGTTGGTATTTTCTAGTCATTCAAACTGCATAGAAGTAATATTCAACAGTATAGGATTGATTAAAGAGATAGAAGACTTGTGTCCTTTTTTTCTAAACTAATTTTTGAGTAAAATAAAACATCTGCAAGAAACATTCATATATATGTCTGATTTCTGTACTTTTTCCTATCTGTAGTTCAAAAGATTTTAAAGAAGGTATGTAAATCTTGAGAAGCTGTCCTTACTCTTCCTGATTAAGTTGTCCCATTCAGAGTGCAAAGTGAAACCGTAGAGTTAGCCCTTTGTCTTCCTGCTGGAGTAGCTGCATTGCTCCTGCTGTTCAATTCACTTTCAGGAGTCCGGCCTAAGGAAAATGCATATACAGAAACTTGTTTGTAATTACCCTTCATGACATTCATGCAAAATGTAATTAAATGGTTTGAATTGTACAGGTGCTAAAAAGAAGCCTATTACAAAATAAGCAAGTTGTAATGTCAGAAACCTCAGTTTGGGATTAACATCATATGATTTTACTTATGACATTACTGAGTCTATTTCTAAGGAGAGGTTATAAAAGTAGGTTGTCAAAAATCTTCATGAGAGAGATGTTTTAGGATTATTTTTAAAGGAAATTTACTGTTTAATTATAAACGTAATACAACTACTACCAGGAAAGCATGTAAAAAGGTGAAAAGAAAAATAATTGCCTATTATTCTAGCATCAAACCACCCTTGTCATCACTGTTAGAATTCCCCCCAAATTTTCTTCATTTGCTTTGATGAACTATTTTGTTTACAATTCTAAAGTGTGCATACCACAGTTTGTACCTAGTTTTTTTACATTATGGTATGGAATATATTTAATAGGGTTTTATATTTTAAAATGTGACCATTTGGTAACAGAGAGCAGTGACCACGGTACGAGCCTCCACAGTGGTCCAGAAGGTAATTCAATTTGCTGTTCCAAACCAGTTAGGTCATTTTCACCACCTAGAACTATTTCATGAGAAGCACTTCACTCTATGCTGAATACTAAACACAAGACGAAGTCTCCATCAATTAAGGGCTGGAAAGAGGCCAGACCTAAATCACTGGGGGTAGAAATTTTGCATCTCAGCTTCAATGAGGATGGTTGGATAAAGAAAGTAGATGATACTGGACACCTTAATTGCTGTCCATGGAGGCCAAAGGAGGTCATTTGAATCCACAGAGATTAAAGCACTTCTCTCAAGGACACCTGAAGGCATGTTATGAGACCAAGAGCTGTAATAAAATTAAAATTACTCAGAAAACTAACTGTGGAGCCACCAATGAGTGTAGCTGTGATCTAACAACACAAAGGAGGCATGCCGATTCTCAGAATAATTGTGTTCTTTGAGAAGAGAAGTGGGACTATGCAATCAATATTATGTCACATGAATAGCTATACATTAGGCTTAATGAGAACATTCATGTGTAATATAAACTGTATTCAAGTAATTCACTTTTAAGGAAAAGGGTCAAAGTCCATGAAAAGTTTCATAAGAAGTGAAACAGTCTAAAAATTCTAAATTGCTCTATTCATCATCCAGAAGGCACAGTAATTAAAGATTAAGGAGCTGTGGGTATCCCACTGCTTAGAATGCCAGAGTCCCATGATTCTGGGGCGGCATAGGAAAAGGCACAGAATCTCAGCAGGGGGGACTGAGAATTCACATCATAATTTAAATCTCACAAACTCTTTAACCATGTAGCTGCACTGTTTTGAACCTCTTTCCCCTTCCCCCATGTAACTTTTATGTAAGATTTCACTCTATCTTGGCTCTCCTTTGAGTTTATCATACTCCTTCACTATGGTTTATAGTTGATTTAACCTAAGTATGATGTGTGTATCTTCCTGAACTTGTGGCTTGTTATCATTATGACATCTGGTGTATTGTTACAGAGGTTTTCTTTCTAGCCTGGTTCCATGACTGCTTGCTTTGCCCCAAATGAAGACACGAACACTATATTAGTTATAAAATTATTGGCCAATGACTAGGGCTTCTTACTGGCTAGCTCTGTCTTAATTATTAACCCATTTCTATTAGTCTATGTATTTCCACATGGTTTTGGCTTACTTGAGAATCTCTGGGCCTTCTACTCCTTTGTGGTCTACATGGTGACTCTTCTGGCAGAATCCCTTTGCCTACGTTTCCCAGAATTCTCCTTGTCTCCTAGCCCCTACCTAACTTCCCACCTCATTGGCCAAACTGTTTTATTCATCAGCCAATAAGAGAAGCATATATACAGAATGACATCCCCCATCCGTGAGTGTATTCTTCTATAGTATTTCTGCAGCAATTGCCTCTTTCATTAACCATTTCTGAAACACTGCTTTTCTAGGTGCTTTTTCTCTTTGTGATTGTGATAGATGCTATTTCCTGGACTATCATTTGATTTGCCTATTCTTTGCTTTTCTAATTTGATAGTAAATTATTAGTAATGTGTTCTTAATTCTGTATGTGTTTCCATCTGGCTGGTTTCTGTGTGTTGGGGTGGGGGTGATTGTTGTCTTGTTTTTGTTCTTTTAGATTCTAAGTGTATGCTAAAATTCTTTCCTCTGTTTTCTGGAATTATATCAAGAATATGTTTACATTTATCCTAAAGTATCTAATAACCATTATCTGATTTAGCCATGAATTTTTTTTGTTGTCCATTTTGTTCAAGTGGTCCTGAATTTTAGCATGCCTTTAATTGTTAACTTGATAATCAGTTTCAAGATGTCTGTTATCTCTGGAAGAGGCAAGGGGAGTGGAAAAATGTAAAACAAGACAACTTTTTCCCCTAGGCTCTATTACATTATATACCACCATATTATAAATACCATTAATGGGTTGATCTCATCTAATGTCCTTGTCTCCTACAGCTGTAGCAGTCCCTCCTGTGGTAACTACTTTGATTTTAATCCAAGGCCTTCCAAATACCTCATAGTACATTTTGCTCACTTATAATAACTGAAATGGTGAGCAGCTCATTCAGTAATGTCACATTATTATAATGGGAAACAGAACTCTGGTTCTAGAAAAGAAATTAGAGAATAAGAAATGAGACAAAGACTTAGAAACGTGGATAATCTATGAAAGCAATGATTCTATCAGTGAGAAATTATAAGTAAACTACAGATCTGCCAATATTACATTATTTAAATGAATTATGATTTATCCATCATGAATTGGTAATGCTCCCAGCATTAAAGGCCCAGATAACACCACAAATTTCCAATGTTAGCAAGCTGAGTGTCTATTTGTTTTCCTCTATCAAAATTTTTCTCACATATATACACTTTAAAAGGTCAAGAGTTGGATTGGATTGTGCCATAATTATCCCCTTCCGCCCAACTCATGCCTATTTGGGTTTAACTTAAGAGATACAGAGTATATACATGGATGCTGGGTGACTCCCAGAACTCTGAAAGAAATCACAGTAATAGGTTTAGGGGGCTACATTACTAGAGATAGCTTAAACAATCAGAAGTTCACCCCCAGGGCACTACTGCTGACATCCCTTGGGAGAGGTGTTGTCTCTGCTCCCCTGTTAACACCAATATGTGACTCTGGATTTTAATCCTAGAAACAGTTTCACTACTGCTTTAGAAAACTAAAAACTGCTTTGATTATTGTGGAAACTTGTTCCTGAGAGTTTCTGTAATTGTTCCTTAATCACTATGACTCTTTTCAGAAACAGGGGAATCTTTCTAAAACCAATTATTTGTAGGTCAATATGTAATGGGAGAGCCAGCCTCATTCCCCATGGGTACCAATAATCCTCCATGTGATTCAGAATCATGTGCACATAAACAACTTAGCATTTGATCCAATGAGCCACCTGAGACTGACTCTTTACTTTACGGATCCTTGCTCGAAGTGTTCTGCTTCTCTGTTTTGCCAGCAGCTTTCAGTATCTGAACATAAGTCCACATTTAACTCGATCTTCTCAACACCTGAATTCCTAGTGTGAGCAGTGAACCTTCAGGTGCTTCACCTAGTCCAGGCTCATGGTGTTTAGTCTGGTGAACTCATCTACTCTTTCTGCAATATTTAGCCATAGTCATTGTCTGTTGGAAAATTCACACTTTCGCTTTTGATAGTCACACAGTTAAGGACCCATTTCACATAACTTGGATATTTTGTTTACTGGTACACAACTCAAAACTGTGACATAGCCTGAAGCCTGAAGAATACTTCGTATAACTTAATATTTGCTAGATTTTGTTTTGTGAGTAAGTCTGATCATTCTCTTAGTTTACTAAACCTTGCTTATGTTTATTTCTAATTCACATGCTGTCATGTGACTTCCTAGAAGAAAATGGTGGGGGAATCACTGTAATTTTTAAACTATTAAATTAGTTAAATGTTTATTTAGTTGAAAGATAGGCATAAAAATACTAAATTACTCTCTGGAAATTAAGTCCAAGGGGAAATTCATTTATTCCTTTAATTGAAAATTCGTATCATCTATCACCAAGTAGAAGATTTTTTTCTTGTATCCATCATTTAGATGAAAAGAAAAGTGTTCTCTTAATGCTCTGGCTAGTGAGTGCCACCAAATACTGAGATTGTGGGGATAAGTCAAATACAAAATACACATGAGGACTTTGAGGATCTGCACTGAAGGTTTCTACCTTTCCTCCTTCTAACTAAACAACCACAAACTGTCAGACTTAACCCTCGCAGAGTAATCCCAACACTGCACTTGGTATTTACTCTGTAGTCTAAGGGGAACCAGGAAGAGACACACCATCAACAAACCAAAAGAAACTAGACATTTTTTTAAACCATACAGGCTCAGAAATCAGATGAAGTCATATTTTCTAAACAATGGCTCCCGAACAAATGATGTGTAATAAATAACTTGTATCTTCAGCACGGTGTCAATTGAAATCTCTACAGAAATCATAGTTTAACCATCAGATGCAGCAGCAAATATGTTTGAGGACAGTATCCATTGTACCTCTGGAAAGAAAGAGAAACAAATTTCTCAAATTTTTAATTCACTGAAGTGGCTCAATTTTTGCCAGCATCTGATAATGTCAAACTTTAAATTTAGTCTTTTTGTTGGGTTTGTAGTTGCAATTCATCTGAGCTTTATTTTAAATTTTCTTACATTCTAGATAAATTTGTTTTCTTTTTAAGTGTTAATTTGGACTATGCTTCTTCTGAAGCACCTGTGCAAGCCCTGCTTTGCCCTTCCATATACTTATCTTTCTCCTCCTTGATATGCAAAACTAAAATGCATTATGATTCTGTCCTCAACATCCTCTCCCTTCCTGTTTTACAGTCTACTCTCTTAACACTATATTTCTAGTCTAGAGCTTAATTTTAATGAAAATCATTGATTACCTTT